TATAGCTGTAACAATTCCGTGATATTGTAAGAAATTTGCTCTAACACCATATTTTTCTCTTAATTCAAAAAAACTGAAGAAGTTGTTGTTATCCTTTTTTAAGTCATTAACTACTACAACTCCCTTCCTATACCAATCCTTATAAAAAACACTATTATTATCTATTTTGATTTTTTCGTTTAACCATATAGGCATGTCGGAGATCTGTTTTGAATCTGTATATTTTTCCTCAAGAATAGTAAGATTTTTCCATGCAAGAAAGACATCTTTCCAGAAAAGATTTTTACAGTTATTATGACAAAAGGAAATATAGTCTGGTCCACAGTTTACAAGAAGGTTTTTATCAATATTTGAATTAAAAATAATTTGCCACGTTCCTGTTGTTGAGAGTAATCTTCTAATCCAAGTTAGTTTTAATGAGTCTATAAATGATTTAATATGAATCATTTTGAGACCACCATCAGAAAAGTTTTTAATAATTACATCTCTTTTAATTTTATCAATCTTACTATTCCAGAGGAAATTATATATTTCTGTATTTATCTTTTTGACAAATGTATTATCAGGATTTGGTAAAGCGATAAATAAGTGATTAAATTGAGAAATTAGGATAGACTTTATTATATTTATTCTCCCTATTGGTGTAAGTATTCTCCTACTCCAAGTCTTGCCTTCTCCCTTCTTACTCGAAATTCTTTTCCTCGGCTTCTGACCTCCTCTTAGGCGGCCCTTTTCTCTCTTGGTCCAGGTTCTTTTACACGTTTGTTATGTTAATTAGTTTTAACATATATATTGCCATAACGAAAATAGTTTGAGCATAAATTTCAAGGTCATAAACGCCCGTCCCTAACAATAAAATGATTTGTTTCATATGGTTTACCGTCTTATTAGATGTGCCCCCCATGTGTGTTGTGTATGCATATCTGTATGAATGTGTGTTGGAGGCAGGATCTGAGGCCACTTTTATTTATAAAATATATTACCTGTAACTGGGCGAGATAAGGTTATCTCGGTCGAGAGCTAATATTCTGTAACATAATCTCAACCAAGGCATAAGCGTAATCTGAGGCCTCTAATAAAAATGGCATCTACACTACTAAAGCTATATTTTAATTCTTCCGCGTAAACATGTATTATGTCCTTACAAAGAAGACCGCGTATTTCACAGTGTAGATTATGTTTTATCTACAACATCAAACCAATACATATAACGACAAAATAGAATAACGCAGATCGTCAATTTCAAGCCGCTAACTCGCGGATGAATACATCGCAGTGTAAAAATTCCGCAAACTTTCACGTAAATGTACCAGACAGATTGGACGAGACAGACAAATCTAGCATGGGGAATGAGGTCTGTCTGAGGTGCGAGAAAGTGCTTTCTCAAAATGAAATGCCATGACTAGGTTACATTATACGGACAACAGGTGATCAAGAACCAATCATTGTCATTTCCTTATCATAATATGGCTAACTATAGATAAAAACACATACGAGCGTGCATGAATGCCTGTATTATTTTGCGCTTCTTTGTAAGGTAAATAACTTAAATATGAAGTGAAGTATTAAAGCGAATTTAGTATTTGTATCCTCTACCTCGCTTAGGACGTGCGCACACACATGCGTATAGACATTCTGGTAATACGATTTGCTTTGTGCGCACACTGTGAGCCCGATGGAAAACTGCGATAGGAGCATGCGCATAACTGTAGGTATCGTTGTAGAAATATTTGTATGGGTTGGTCCGTGAAAAAATACTTGCATATTTAAAATTATATCTTTCCTGTTGAGGCAAGTTGCATTTCATCCAGATTTACATGGTTATATATGTATCTAGCAGTAATGGACATATCACGTACACGACCGCAATCGACACGTGTGTATCAATCTATACGGTCATACACATGTACGTACCGTGCGAGCAGATAAAATGTCTTACCTGTTACCAGACACAGCAAATATATACGGGTATTTGAGGGAAGCACAAAATCAAACGCACAATCACATTTGTATGCAAAAAAGCGTGTATCAATGGTATTCCTTATACGTTAACTCATTTGAATTTGAATTGACAAAATACACTGGAGCCCTCACGAGAGGGCGGGGACGATTTATTTGGTCGGGGTTAAACTTGCTCACAGTAGCCAGGGTTATATGAGGACGACTGTCTAGGGAGACACCGCTTGAAACAGGAAGTTGAATGAAAAAAAAGTACAGGAAAAGTATGAAACGAAAAAGATTCAAAGTACTGAAATGGGGACAGTAGATTAATGTTGGTCTTTTCCATGTCCCCTTGGTAGAAGACACCAAAGAAAATCCCCCAAATTCTACAGGGATGGGGTGGGGGGCACATTAGTCTCTTTTACGATACATATGCAGTAGGGTACAGCCGGACTTGTGTTAATTTCTTCAATGTCCCTTTAACAGAAGACAAGGTAGAAACCACCCCCGATTTTATAAGGGACCCACATTAGTCGCCTCTTTAGTTCAGTAGGATCCTACAAAGGGGTTGGGTGGGTCAGAAAAAAGGATGGGGAAGAAATACTTATTGGGTAGACTGAACCATAGTTGTTCAGTTTCAAATAAAAGAGACGTACATATTTCATTTTCTCATCGAAGAGCTCAATGTCAAGTTAGGCTGTTTGTTGTAATACTATCATTTATTTTTTTAAAGACATTGCTTAAAAATCACCTTTGTTTTCACACACACAGGTTAGTGTTTAAGGAAACAAAGGAATTAGAGAACATTTCGTTTCTTTGGTATGCTTAACGTTCCCAAAACAGCCAGAGTCACATGATGTCGGGTGCCTGTGGATACACCACCGGAAAGAGATAGTAGTTGCCTATCACCATACACATGTAGTTAGGTAATCCAATAATTACAAAATAATAAATTTAGGGTGTGTATTGCGGTACTGGAAACGGAGTAATGTGAGGTAGGTTTAGTTATTTTTAGAACCAATTACCGCCTTGTATAAAAAGCCACATGTACTCCAGAAGTATCGACATAATGGATATTGTCGATATATCAGATATGCAGAATGATGACATGTATTACCTTTGGAACATTCACAACTAAGCGCCATGTTAATAAGGTTTGTACAGTGTTAAAGTTTGGTTTAGTTTTATTTTGTTTAACGTTCTACTAATAGCTAAGGTCATTTAAGGACGTGCATATATGTCTGTTGTGTATGCGTGCATCTATCTATATACTCCACAGAAACCAAAATGGCTTTAACGCATGTGTGTTTGTGTGCCGAAGGCAGGGAATGTTAGTGCATTTGACGCCTTGTGATAGCGTGCATCTGATGTCGACTTAAGAGTGATATCTCACTGAAATACCATGCCGAAGGCACCAAGCACAGCATTCGGCCCGGTCACAATATACTGGCAACTGGTGAACTAGTTGTTTTCGTTACCCTTTATGCTGAACGTTAAGCATGGAATACCAATTACCTTTTTTCAGGTCTTTTAAGGTATAGACAGTTAAATTTTTTATATTTGATTATTTCGTAGCAAAAATGTACAAAAACAACAAATTAATTCTGTAGTGCAATGGGTAAGTGCCTTTCATGATAACGAAACTAGAATAAATTTCAATGTGAACCTTCTTTCACTTTGTTTTATTTTTAACATGTGTAACCAGTTTGATAGTAATATTTATTTTTGGTAAACGTTTCTTTTAAACAGTGTTCTTTGCTCTAAATGACGAATTATTTTCAAGCCTTTGGGAACGAGACAAAACGACACAGTAGCCGTAAACGCTCGTAATAGTCATTGTTTATTCATAGGTGTAAACCAACAGTCTCATTACAATTACATGTACAGGTGTAACAACATCTCCTCTACGTACAGTAAGGTAACCTTCAGTGTTGTGCCTTAACTCTCCCAGCTAAGTAACGTACACTGCAAAGTTGTATCAAACCCATATCTCTCTAGCTTCTGAGACATGGATACTCTTCCTGGCTAACAGTATGACCTGTTCCGTCTGCTGGCTAAAATCAAAATATCTCTATCGTACCATAATGCGTCGCATTTATTCCCAATACTCACGTAACCCAATTCTCTGTCCTTGACAGGACCAAACGTGTCAGTCAATCACTCCGTATACTCTAACTATCGGTTCGTGCAGATAAGCAGTTTTGTTTCTGTATCCAAAATCCACGTAACCCCTATACTAAATTAGCTGGGAGATGGATTTCTGTTCATTATACCTGCATTCTCGACATGCCTCAGAGGTCATCGTCCGTTTGTTGATTACCGCCATAACCAGGTCCTAATAACCGATTACGTAGTTTGGCCAATGTGTACTACCGACTAATTTATACAGATACAAAATCCATAACCACCACAGAACATTTGCTATTCTCCCTCTCGGGTAGGTAAGCCCATCGTGCTACATTCGTCCCCATATCATATTAACATGTTTGGGTAAAGTTTGGTGGTAGAGCTCGCTTTGTCACACTGAATTGCAACACAAAGGAATTGATGTATTTTATGTTTTTCTTTGAAAGTTGGCTATGGAGGAACTTATACTACGCGACCGAATCAACCAGATCGAGAAGCTAAAAACTGTTGTAGGCAGGAGGGAAAACGGTTGTCGCCCCCTTAACATCTTGATTATTGGCGCACCAGGGTCTGGGAAGTCTTCCTTCATCAACTCCATAGCAGCATCCATTGTAGATGATTATTGGAGGGAATATGCCATCAGCGGGGCACAAGGCCGCGGGGCCTTTGGTGAACAAGGCCGCGGGGCACAAGGCTGCCAGGGAGGTTCAAACAACACGATTCGGATCAAAAGGTAAGATATGTCATGACATGAAATAAGAGTCTCCTTAAAAGGGGATGGTTTAAGTTGGTTACCCTTTAAAACATTTTTATACATGTGAGATTTGCCATCCGTCAGTAAATAGTTTACAATTTTGACTTCTCCGAAACCTCCGAACCAATTTCAATCAAATTTTGAAGGGATGTTCCTTTGTTAATGACAAACCAAACCAAGAAAACTGGCATTGCGAGGGTAACCCAATACCTTTTTCACGTCTGATCGGGGAATCAAACCCTGGTGGATGTAATTCATGTGCGAGTTAAGATCCTATGGGCCTCTTTGTTTATATTAAGTGTATATCATGAAATGATGAATAACAGGTTTTCACATACCATTAATCTGCTGCTCCCCAAATCAACAATTAAGAGATGCATCTGTTTTCGCTTTCATTCACTCTTTTTTTTGGCGTTAGTGTAGCAAGGTAAGGACATACCAACGTCTTTAAAAATTGTTGTAATTCCCTGGCAAACGTTCAGCATTAAGGATAATGGCCACAACTGGTTCATCAGTTGTCAGTATATTATGACTTGGCTGCTTTGTCTTGTTTTTATTTCGTTTAAAGGTCTCTTATCAGCTCAGGTCATTTGAGGACATTGCGCCATGTGTTGTGTATGCATGCATGCGTGAATGTGTGTTGGATACAGAGTATGTTGGTGTACTTGCCGCTATGTGTGTAGTGTATGCGTTCTTGCGTGTGTGTGCAGTCAGCATGGTATGTTGGTGTGCTTGCCTCCTTATGATAGCGCGAATGTGACTCCGGCTTTAACGTGCTATCTTACTGAAATGCCATGCCGCACGCACCAAGCATAGCACTCCCCCGTTCACATTATACTGACAACGGGTGAACCAGTTGTTGCCATTACCTTAAATGCTGAACGCTAAGCAGAGAATAACAACTATCATTTTAAGGACTTTGGTATGTCCCTGCCTGGGGACAGAACTCATTGCTTCCTCACCTGAGCAAATGCTCAACAATAGAGCCAAAAGTGAGGTATTGCCAAGCAATGCGCTAGGAAATAAAAGCTAGTTAGAAGTAGAAAGAAAGATATAGATTATAAATATTGCAATGGGTGCAGCAGATTTATTTTTGTCGCTTTTGTGTCTCCAAAAGCAAATCCCTAATTCTGCAGGGGGTTTCTATATTAGTCGCCTCTTACGATATATGTAGTGGGTAACAACATGTGTATTCTTTTCTCGCTCCTTGACCTACAGGGTACATGTGACGCCGCCAAGGCTACAGGGATAACATACACAATTACGTCACACTAACATACGTTCCAATCAACACGAGACTAGGCAACAGCAATTGCGTATGCGGAGCGCGCATTGCGGATTAAAATCGACGACACAATCCACAATATTATACAAAGTAATACTTATTCGACTCAATGTATTTTAACTTAATCTTAGAAATATAAACAATTGAAATAAAATGTAAAAGGGGGCCACATTTCAGTAAGGTAGCACTCTAAAGTCGACATCAGATTCGTGCGATCACAAAGAGGCAATACATCAGCATTTGTCTCAAATCTGGGATGATAACCCATGGCGTTGATTGCGTTGGTGACTGCTCAAACGCAAAGGCAAATAAATGAGGTTTAGCAAAAAAGGTATGAAGAAATTTTGTTTTAGAGGGTGTAGCGTCCCATTAACAGCAAACGTCATTTAAGGACGAGTGAATAATGATCCAAGATGCTGCAAATGCTGTAGCTTCCGTTTACCCAAGAGGACATGATAGACAATTCCAATTTCGGCAGGAGTTTTATTATCAGTAGTCTGTTAAAAAGTGCATTGGGTAAAGCAAGTAGAATTCGCTCAAACGACGTGACGTCTTTTAAATCTCTCATCGCTTGAGAGAGACATAGGCATTGTTTATAGCTTGAGGTAAGTTATTACAAATACTCCGCAACGTAATATATGTAACTAAACTAGTCTTTTTGATTTTGTAGTTTTACTGCAGCTGACTATGTGACGTCATCAAGGCTACAGGGATACGCTCTCCCAAGCATCATAGACATTGCTGGTCTTGATGACGAACATTCTAAAATTACAGAAGAGATTTTAAGACTATTATTTTATGGTCAGTTAGAAGATCATGTAAATATACATTCAGTGTTTAGTTATGGAAAACAGTACGGTGTGGAATCAATGCGATGGAAGTTCTTCAAATGGTACACGGCCGATGGTTGTAAAGTTGATCGCATCATCGTGGTTGCTGCAGCAACACAGCCTATACCGAAAAATCTAATCCAATGTGTGATGAAGGCTGCGCGCCCGACCAGCGATAGGTTCACAAGAGGTAAATATATCTGAGCTATATGAGTAGTTGTAAGATACCATACCAAAAGTATCTCGTTTATATCTCGGGTGTATGAGTGAGCTAGACATGTGATGAACGTATCATGACTATTTGTGTAAATTAATACTGGCATTTTTAAATATTTTAAAGAAAATTGAATTCGTTCTTTGAGTCTCTTTTTGAATCTCCATTATTTTTCGATTTGCAAATTACATAACGTTACTTTTTGAGAAATCGGGTGTCTAGTCAAGGCAGTGTATTAGTAATCTCGGGATACATGAATAAAGCAATGTATACACAAATGTCAGAAAAACAAATAAAAATAACACGTTATCGCAAACTATCGGGAAATCTTGGATATTCCATTTCCCCAACAAGAGCCCCGCGAGCGGAAGCATGACATGCCCGTTAAACCCTCGGACATGTTCAAAATATATCCTTGCAAACAATGTAGAAAGAGTAAAGACTTTAAACGTTTAAAGAAAACATTAAACCCTATACAACCAACCAACCAACCAACATTTTGTTTTTGTTTCCTTATACTTTGTCCCTGCAGGTAGGGCGTAATAATTGTACCTGCTGCCCCCATTGCATGATCATAAGAGGCGACTAAATTTGGGATATTATGTTTTCTCTTCTTTCTCAACAACTTTCTTCGTCCTTATGTCTCCCTTGCCAATGCCTGCCTTTTGGCCTTTAGTTTAGCGTTCGCCCCTATGAGGAAGGCTTTTGGCTCTGTCCCCTTACCAAAACATACCAGAGTCTGTAAAAATGGTAGTTTCTACTCCTGCTAAACGCTCAGCAATTTAGGAGTGGGATGTAATGTGACGGGGTGGGGTGTCCTGTTTGGTGTCTTCGGCAGTATGTTTCAGTGAGGTAGCACTTTAAAGTGGGCATCAGTTCTGCGCTATCACAAGAGATAAACATGATCATATCGCACCTCCCAAAACACACACGCATACACTACACGCATGCATATTGTACACAGAGGAGGCCGTCCTTAAATGACCATAGCTGTTGATAGGACATTAAACAATATTAAACCAAACTAAATCAAACTAGACGTTGTATTGTTGGTGGTGAATATTTTTTTTTCTATTACAGTCACTCAATAAATAAGATGTATTTTTGAACAAGAACTAACATTGATCGTTTATTTGTTTCATAAGAAATTCCAGTTTTCGGCGTCCTCACAAAGTTTGACCAGGTCGACGAATCCGGGAAAATATTTAAAGACAGAAAACAGAATTTCATTGAAAGCCTGTCCCTGGTTGGCGCTACTCATAGACTTGCGCAGTGCGTCAATTATTGTGACGATATTGACCCAATATCGGCAAGGACACAACAAACCCTACCAGACGTGGACGTCCCTATCCTAAGATTTATGAACGTGGTTAGTATGAGTATGTACACTTTGTGTATAAAGACTTCAACATGCAAATTTCAGTGCTTAAAATATATTGCTTAACTATGATTACGCTAAATTATTTTTTATGTATTCTTTTCTATTCTAGGTGTGTGGATCTAACTACGTCGTCACCAAACCGCACGAGAGTTACACGAGCGTAATCTTTTGGGAAGCTGCACGTCAGCAATCGGGCAGCATAATGCAGATGGTGTACGCTATATTAGTGTGTTTACTTTTTTCCGTTATTGTGAGGTTGCTTTCGCAATAGAAAATTTGGTGATGTAACAGATAAGACTATGGTCTTACCAGCCTAGTATAAATAATACTGTTGAAGCCAATACCATTGGTGGAACCCGATTACACCGGTAGGTGCATAGTTTGTAATGTAATTCTGGAAAGGTCACAATACAAAGGTTAAAATAGCCGATGATCAGTACATCATTGATGTCTATTTTGAAGATGACTTTTGATTTGGAGTAAAATAGTATTCCCAATAATGGGCATTGTCACCCTTTTCATGCCGTCAATACGTTTAGCATTTATATGTTGTTGCAACAACTGCAACAACACGAACATATCGCAGCCTCCCAAAAAACACACGCATACACCACACGCATGCATCTTGTACACAGGGGAGACCGTCCTTAAACGACGTTTGGTTTGGTTTGGTTTAGTATTGTTTAACGTACTATCAACAACTATGGTTATTTAAGGACGGCCTCTCCTGTGTGCAAGATGCATGCGTGTGGTGTATGCGTGTGTGTTTTGGAAAGGTGCGATATGGTTGTGTTTGTCTCCTTGTGATAGCACGGAACAAATGCCAACTTTATAGTGCTTCCTCGCTGAAAAAAATAATGCCGAAGACACCAAGCAGGACACCCACCCGGTCACATTATACTCCAAAATTGCTGTGCGTTAAGCAGGAGTAGAAACTACCATTTTTACGGACTCTGATATGTCTCGGCCAGGGGACAGAAACCAAAGCCTTCCTCACACGGGCAACGCTCAATTAAAGGCCAAAAGTGAGGCATTGTCAAGAGAGACATTAGGAAGAAGGAAGTTGTTTAGAAAGAAGAGAAAAGATAAGATCCTCAAATGACCATAGCGGATCTAATGTCGTCTTTTAGAGTTACACATCACTGAAATATTATACCAAAGGCACCAGGCGGATTGTCACACCGGTAACAGTATACTTACGCTGTTCTCCCTCCCTTGACGGGTGTGTTTATTGAGAACTTTACCTACCAAGGGAAAATGTAGCCCAACCTTGCTTTTTTCTTCACCATCGCGCCATCACGTTATACCGTGAAACAATGTCGGCTGTATCAAGCTCTTGACAATGGCTCGTTCTATTAGTCGAATTTATGTTTACAATGTATTTGTAAGGTCAAAATGGAATGATAGAGTCTATAAATCTTTGTTAATAGTAACAAATAGCCGAAAATAAGCGGATCTCCTTTTTTTAAATTGTTGTCCGAACATCAAATTTTATCTGATGCTGAATGTATTTATTTGTGTTATTTGTGTATTCTGTATTATTTATTTTTGGTATGTGTTATATGTACAAAAGAAGGTTGTTGGGATTTTAATAATTGAGAATATTGTGAATGTATTATAACTGAATGTATTTATTTGTTCTAATTGTTTGTTGTTAGTTTTATTTATATTAAGTATGTTTTTATGTACAAAAGAAGATTGTTGGAATTTAAAATTGAGTGTATCTTTTTTAATTATCACATTCTTTGTTGAGCCCTAGTCGCTGCACGTTTCCTTGGTAGGGGAATTGAGTACCTCAATGACCTGGTAAGCTATGCTTGTTGGGGCTTTGTGCATCTGCTAGGGTCACCCAAACCAGGCAGGTTGAAAGGCAGAGGTCAGACCAAGCAGTGCCGTCCTTTGGCCGGGACGCAAATGCTAGGTTTGCACCTTTGTGCTTTTCTTCCCGGGGGTTGTGTATACAGGTGTCCGTCTTCGGGCCAGCCCTTTGTGTATTCCTCTTGAATAGTCTGACCGTGGTAAATTCTCGAGAGTCCCATGTATAAGGTGTAGATTTTGTTTCTGTCCTTTTTCTTTTCTTCTTTATTGTTCTTTCTACTTTTTCACACCTTTTAAATTTTGATTTAGCATTTGTTTTTGTCGACCATTTGTTGGCCCTAATGACCTTTCCTTTGTTGATGGTCGTTGAGCATTGATAATAATAATAACTTTGTTGAGCCTCGTTTATTCAGCAATCACCAATGTAGCTTACTATCTGTATCCAGCTTGTGTTTCATAACACAAATTTGACCATTTAAATTATTCCACTAAACCGGCCGCCTCTTAAAGGACTCACACAACTAAACGATTTACTTTATGTTATTACTAATATTTTTAGTTAATAGCGTTAATATTTGAAGTTCAACACTAGTAACAACTGTCTAGATTAATAGATACGTACCTGACAAAAACATCAAAAGGCAATTTTTGGTAGGTTTACTGGCATATAAGAGCGCTTCAGGCATCTGCTTTTGACAACAGGAAGTTCACAAGCGAAACTGGTGAAGCGGGACGGGAAAACCCCCGAACGTTTGACCCGACATAAATCTGCCATCACATACTAAAATCAACTAAATCTTTTCATTTTTTCCAAAGTGAAATATGTCAATATATACACATTTAAATTACTCAGAGGCCACGTGTTTACCTGGAACAAATTTTAAGTACGGATTACAATCGTATGAAACAATTGCCGATTGGCTGATTTAGTTGTTTGTCCTCCGATAGTGAGGTTTCACATAGGCTAGTGATATGTGAAGAAGCATCTTTATATGAGATAATCTTGTCAATTGAATGATAAAGACGTTGAGTAATAAAACCTATCAGGTTTATGATCGGTTGAGAGGTGCATATACTACGTGAAACATTAAAGGTAAAACAACGGAATAGGTCGCATAATACAACATATGAAGATAACCCATACATCTAGTGATTTTATTTCTTTCACACGAAGATCTAAAAAGTATTTTTTTTGAATGATGGATAACTTTCCCATTCTTTATCTTAGTTTTCACTGAAAGAAATTGAGTACATTCTATTAATTTTCTGAATAAAATCTGAAACTGTTGATATTGCAATTGTATTTCCTTTTTGTTGTCGTTGTAAATAAGTATGCCGAATAGCCCAACGTTCTCTAAAAACCACTTACAATCATAAGAATCGGCTCGCACCGGCCAGAAGGGAAACAACAGCCATGAACGTTTTTAAATCCCAGCTATGCTTGTAATTATAGTAAATGCTAATACTAGTCCTAGTTTAGGAAAAGACCTCTCGAAGACCGTGTTTGGATAGTGTAAATATTTGTATTACGATGGGGTCACTTAAAATACCAAAAACGTTAAGTTTGGCCCAAAGGTCATTATCATAACAAATCATTGTTAAATTTGGAAATAATTTAAATTTCAATATTCAGTATCACATCTATAAAGGCTTAAAAACACCCAGATGAGCGTAACAACCGAAATAAGACCGACAACAAATTTACAGATTGTTCGGAGTTTTACGTCCTCGCAACTATCCGGGTCATATGAGGGCATGTGTCTAAGGAGACACGGCAGGAATTGTACAGTAGATAGAAAAGCGAGAAGTCAGGAAGGTGTTGAAATGGGGGCAGCAGATAAAGTTTAGTCCCTCCATGTTGTTGATAGGACATTAAACAAATTATAACAAAAACTTAACTTGGAGTCTGGTAAATTTTAAGACTAAACTCCCTAGGAGTTTTCTGCACTTATACCATACATAGATGACTTGTGACTTATAGTTGGCTTTGAAAGTGAAGTACACACATTGACTAAGCCATTTTCACTCTCCCCGGGAGAGTGATCCTGCTCAATAAACACTTCAGATTTGTATTTAGGTTCCATAAATCAATTTGATTCACTAAATTACAATCTAACAAACACGAACTTTCAGACCAACTCTTTCACAACTCATGCACTCCCTTCTGTACCACTTTCTCATTATCCTTTCCAACCATCACAAAATAACCAGATCTAATGAAACGTGATGTTATTAACAATGAAAATGTGGATGTACAGTTGTGGGATCGCACAACGTTACACGATGTGCAGTGTGCGCACGATGTGTGCACGGTGTGTGAACGGTGTCCAGGTGTGTGCACGATTGGCGAACGATACAAAGCTGGACGATCCTTGCTTGCGCACTTATGTGCGCACGATGGACGAACGCTGTGCGATTACAATCGTGGTTGATGTAAATTGAGGAATGCCTTAACAATTATACGGTTTCGTGTTTAAACATATAAACTTGATTTTTACGTATGTTTCTATATTCTAGCTACATCTATAAACTAATTTTTCTGTCTATACATTCTTATATTTAGAAATTGTGTTTTCGGTGTTTTTAAACAAACTTAATCGACACATGTAAAATTACAACACAATCCCGTATACAGGTAAACATAACCACTTTGTACATGTACCTGGACCGTATTTCCCCCCGCCTGGGGCATTTACGTAACTCGTCGGGTAAGGCCGGGGGTGTGAAAATCCATGTGAAGGGGGGCTATAGGCAAACAAATGCAAATAACAAATACTATTCATTACGGTCATACGGTATCGCATATCAGCTCTGTGTGTCAGGCACTGGTCAGGTAAAACTTCGGACACTCATCAAATTGTTATTTACCTGTTCTGTTACCTTTGCGTTGTGAAGTTGTATTATCTTGATTACTGTAATGAGAAATTACAGANCGATGTGCAGTGTGCGCACGATGTGTGCACGGTGTGTGAACGGTGTCCAGGTGTGTGCACGATTGGCGAACGATACAAAGCTGGACGATCCTTGCTTGCGCACTTATGTGCGCACGATGGACGAACGCTGTGCGATTACAATCGTGGTTGATGTAAATTGAGGAATGCCTTAACAATTATACGGTTTCGTGTTTAAACATATAAACTTGATTTTTACGTATGTTTCTATATTCTAGCTACATCTATAAACTAATTTTTCTGTCTATACATTCTTATATTTAGAAATTGTGTTTTCGGTGTTTTTAAACAAACTTAATCGACACATGTAAAATTACAACACAATCCCGTATACAGGTAAACATAACCACTTTGTACATGTACCTGGACCGTAGTTTTCTCCCCGCCTGGGGCATTTACGTAACTCGTCGGGTAAGGCCGGGGTGTGAAAATCCAGGTGAAG